GAGGTTGTCCAAAAACAAGACCGTCCCCCCAAAGAAGACTAATGTTTTTAAAAGGGGCAATGCAGGCTTCCACGTTTGATTGGAGCAGGTGATGTGTGCAGGCCATGCAGGCGCTGCTTGGGGTTTTGATGTGTGTAGAACGTGGAGGACACATTGAAACGGAATAGCCCTTCAAATCTGGGTCCTCAGCTCTGAGCTCAATCCCAATACTGGAACCAAACAGCAAAACTAAGGACAGAGCCGAGGGAGAGGAGGGTTCGGTCGTGGTCCCTTGTCCTGTGGGAATATGCGAGTCATTGTCAATAAAGGGGTCGCATAGATGTAACGGGCAACATGTGAAATAAACGGGGGCTCTTAAAAGATTCGGGGTCCCTGTTTAGGGGTCCCTAAACTCGTGGACTATGTAAGGCGGGCCGTGTCTTTCTAAAAAAGCACTGCAACATGTATTACATGCTTCCAAAGGCCTAATCCAAGCTGGCGGCCAGGCAATTTGTGGTTTCTCGTGTGCTAACCCCTGGCTTTAGCGAGGCACAACGAGTTGCTTTCAAGGCATCTTTTATAATGGAAAAGACAATGGAAGCTGCTATAGTATATTAGGGCTATACAGGGGTTAGAGGGTTGGCAGCTGTCAAACTACTCCTGCCCTGGTATTGAAGCATCTTGGTGAGGCCTCTTATTGACGCAAATGCCCTCCAATCTTCCTGAGGGGACACTGTGGCGGGGTTTGTTAGGACCGTAGATTAAGTTACCAGAAGGGTACATATATATACATATATAAGATAGCAATTAATAGGGTTTCCCCGATCTAGTAACTTGAATTAAGTTCCTTAGCAGCAGCACAGTAAACCCTGCCCACAAAGCCTCAATCCTGAATCAAGGAATATTCTGCGATTGCAACTACACCACATGAAGGTATCTGAAATCATGCGCCCCTTCATTGCTCCGGTATTTCCTTGCCTTGGACTCTATATAAACACCCTAAACCCAAAACCCTAAACAGTAGGCTCGTCAACCAGAGGGCTAGCCCCCCGAGTCTGCACTCCTCAAGCGAACATGGAAGTCAAGGGGCAGGGGCCTATATGATCTATAGTCTAGATTCCCTGAAATGTATGATCTAGGGGATTGGTAAGGGCTATTGAGGGGGATACTAGGAGTTTAGACTATGGACTCTATGGGTTTAGTTGCTCTTCTGGGAGGGGAAAGCTTGAAGCAGCCGCCCTGAAATCCTGAAGACCCAGTGTCTCTGAAACTTGACATTCCAAGATGCTTGAACGCAACACCGTGGTCACAGGGTGACGATCTTCAACCCTGAAGCCCTAGACCTTGATCCCACACTGAGCCCACCGCAAGAAATCGAAGAAAGCACAAAGCCCTAGCAAGCACAGGAAGAAAAGGAAAAAGCTATACAATGCCCTTGTACCCAAATCCCTCAACCCTAAATCTGACAAGCTCCGCATGCCGAACTGCAACTATCGTACAAGTGCGAGAAACCAGCGTAAGCCTGACATGACTTATATCTGTGCAGTTCCATTTTCCGTGCACGCCCCGCAAGCCCCAGATGCCCCCATTCCGGAGTGCTTAGCCCCAAATGCTGGAAATCGAAGAGCTGACGTACACCCTCAACCCTCATAGAGCAAAGCATAGCTGGTTGTTAGTAAGGTGGAGGAATGGATCTCTACAATCCCCATATATGATCCTTGATACTATAGCGGTTTACACTTTTCCATTTTCTCTTCCAAGTCGCTACCAACAATAAGCAAGGAAGATGGCATGGACGTGAACAAGCGTGTAGCCTGGGAAGCAGCGCTGCAGCAGTTCGGCAACAAGAGGCCTGAAACCTTGCTCATGGTCAGTTAGGGGGTTTAGGGTTTACAATGTTAAGGGATTCCCCGAATGAGGGGGTAAAAGGGGTACCTTTTACCCCTATAGTGGAAAATCAGATGAAAAAGAACATTGACAATGAAATGCAAACTGAGTTTATAGGGAGTAGGGGTTTCCCAAAATTAGGGATACCTTGAATTGGGAGTCCCCGTAGTGAGGATTATAGTATATTAGGGTCTATATTGAGGTTCCCCTATTTTGGGAAGCTACCAGTTAAGAATGGAGGAAAGGCTACTACTGCGGAGTGGCATTCCCCCAACTGAAAAAAACGCGGCCTGACAACTTGCTCTTTGAGTGCTGAGATGCTGGGTCCTACTGCTCGGAGGGGGGAGGGGAGGGATAGAGATTTAGGGTTAAGGGGAGCTTCAAAACACAAGTGTTATCAGCAATTGTAATTATGAGGGACTACGGGAACTGTCCTGATTGTAATTTGGTTTTCCCTGACGAGTTGAGGTGTCCATAGACCCTAAACCCTAAACTGCGTGTCATTGTGGGATTCGCATCTTTAGGGGACAGGGCGAAGGATTCAGGGTTTTAGGGTTTTCGGCTTGGGGACAGTCGAGGTCTGAAGCTAGCGCCTTCAGAACAAAAGGTTTTGGGCCCAGGGTGTGGGATTTGCGTTGTTTTAGGATTTCGGCCTCGAAGTTTTAGGGTACAGTGGTTTGTGACTTGCAGAGCTTCCAGCTGGTCAAGTCAGGAGTGGGCATTGCAGCCTACTGCCTTGGGAGAGTTCGTCAGATCGTGTCATGCGGACAGAATGTCAGAACTCACTCATAGCTGTTGTGGCTGCAGTTAGGTGACAGGGCCTGTCTAGATCAAGGTTTAACTTGCGCGGGCTTTCGGTTTTAGGATGGCGTCTTCTTTCAGGTCTTCGGGGTTGTCCTGGTGGGATTGGTGTTTGCATCTCTGCACGGCCTTGTATTTAATGTAGGGCCATGCTACAGGAGGGCAGGCTTGAGGTTGTAGAGTTTGACAGTCGGGTTTGCAAGAGTGCTTTGAAGAAACCGCTGTGGTATCTCAAGGCTAGGTACAAAGCTCACGTGGAAACTGTTGCTGCATGTAGCTCCACCGTCAGGATAAGGGGATTCGGTAACTCCTTACATGACTAGAAGGCCCTATGCCTGCTGCATGACTCTTCAGTACGTCTGCTTAAGCCCCATAATGTAGACCCATGATTCATAAACCCCCTCCTTTCAAGGGCGTTAATACTAGGATCCCTGCTACAATCCCTTCTAAGGGGAGGGGGTTTATTAATCAGGGGTCTGGGTTACCCAAATCCAACACTTCTGCCTGCGAGCTTTCGTGACTGATAAAAGGCGGTCTTTAGACAAGGTCCTCGAGGAATTTCGCTCCGTGGCTGCAGCGAAGGCTTAGGCCCAAACTCTTCGCATCCATGCGACCAAATCCGAAAAAATATCCCAAAGCCTGAAAATTGTTGGATCGTGACGCCGCATGCGGGCGCAGATAGTACTCTTGTACTTGCTGCTCACGCACCATAGTCCCTACCTACATGAAGTAGGATTTGCTGAGGCTTTGTTGAGTGTATGTTCTTTAGGGAAACATGGGTGAGTATTTAGATGGAGTGGAAAATTCTTCAGCAGAAGTTCAAGCCTGAACTCAACCCCCCGAAGGCTGCGCTCTAACGGGTGAAGAGTTTGACTTGTGACTTCGGGCCAGTACATACACGAACGACATGCGGGTGTGGGGCTGAATTATGCTTCCGCGTTTGTGCACACATGTGCTTTGAGAACGTTTTTTTTTTCTTTGACTCTGGCAAGATAGGGTCTGACAGAACGATGCTATATTGGGAACAAAGAAGCCTAAAAGCGCCTGCGGGCCCTCAAGCGCACCACGCACTGCCCTACATTCAACCGAGAATCAGTCTGAACCCTTTCTTCTTGCCTCAGTCCCACCAGATCCATTAGGGACGATGACCCAGCAATCGCTTTACAGCTCCAATGTTACCTCTAACATATCGAGGGTTCCCAAAATTAGGGGTACCTTTGTAGGGGTGCCCATATTAAGGATAATAGTATATTGGGGTCTATATTGGGGTCCCCTTATTTAGGGAAACTACCATATATCGTGGCAGCTGGCTTCACAAGAATTTTCCCGAAACAATCACACACAATGGACCCTCCAGTTCCTTTGCAATCGCCGCATCGGTCGAAGGGCGTCAGGGTCTCTTGCCGCCTCCATTCTCGAGATACCCTCAGCTTCAACACCCTGAACCTTTACTTAATCCTTGACCCGTCTGGGTGCACCATGGCATCCCGGTTTTGAGACATCCTTCAATCCCAGGTCAGCTTGGCCGGTGACCCAGCTTTGGGTAGCCATCTCCTGGGCCTCCTTTTTGGGGTGTATAGTCCCCCTTACGTAGATAGAACATGGGGTATATGGGGATCTTATTATAATATACCCAAAGCCATGTTCTATCTACTCAAGGGGGACTGTATGCTTAGGGGGCTTGATTTTAGGGGTAAAGGCTGGGGTAGAAGCGGGTAGAATCGTGGCGGGCTTAGGGTGCTGGTTTCTATGGTTTGGAGTATTGCAGTTTGCAGAGAAGCTTGAAGCCTGACTGGGAAACTTGAGAGAGCAACTTGCATCTTACTGAGCCACAGGAGATCATGAACCCTAAGCCCTAAACCCTAAACCCTAAACAGACAGACTTGCTAGCTTGAGCCTGGCTCTTAGGACTTCATGTTTTTGTGTTTCCTAATCTTTAGATTCAGGAGGCCAAACATTGAAGTTTAAGCGGCGGAATGATGCGCTCCCCAACTTATTACCATAAACCCTGAACCCTAGGTTCAGAAGCAAGGGTCCCAATCTCGTAGAGTAGGGAGTTTGGCAGGCAATGCCCTGGACTCTCCTCTATATTTCCTGCAAGTAAATATACACGTCCGGAGCTCCTATACCTCCCCTGACACTGCTAGGTCGCCTCATGTCCTTGATCTTCTTGGGTCAAGCCGAGGGGTCAGGTGAGACACCTGCTGCCCTCGACTTTGAATATGTTGATTTCCGCCTTTTCCTACAAATTTCTTCCCTGAGGCACATACGTTTCAATCGATAGACCCATAAGCCCGCCATAGCCCCAACCCTGAAGCCTGTACAGCTTGGAGGCTTCAAGCCGAAGGGTGAGGCCGATGAGGCAGAGGAGGACGAGGAGGTGCCAGTCTCCAAGGGTCTTGGGTTTACGGCTTGTGGCTAAATAAGGTGTTTGCATTATTCTAAAGGGATGCTCATGTGGAAACGGTTTGGGGTTGAGTGTCTAGGTTATGGCGGAGGTATAAGTCTCTTCTGCGCATTCGTGTGGAATCTGACAAAGAGCCACAGGAGGACTACTGTCGTTTGAGGGACCTGGGGTTCCATATTTGTTTGGGGAGATTTCTGATTTTTGGGCCCTTAACTTGCCACGGACCCTCCAGCACACCCAACAAAGATCTCACAGACCTTGTGCATGGAAACTGCTACCACTAGAAATGTATTAGGAGGGTCCCGCTGTATGACCCCCAGAGTGCCACATTCTAATTGAGAATGATATGCACGCATGTTGCATGTTTCTGACTGTACGAACCGCACCTGGATTTCCTTTTCCTGGCCAGCACCTACCTTCTGAAAAGCCCGGCAAGCAAACAAATTTCTAGCCCATGGTACGGGGCAACTACGCTCAACAATGTCTTGTTGAAGCTCCGCACCCAAGTGTCTTATTTGTTTTAATGATTTTCGAGGGGGGGCCGACGGAAGGCTTGCGTGGCTTGAGGTTAGCCCAGCTAACAAGCACCCTCCCTCATTAACACTGCACCAACTTGTCCACATGCTCGAACTGCTTCTTCATTTAGTTGATGCCAATGTACGTACTCCGAATCTCGACTGGACACTATTATTATCATGCTTCCTAGTACCATTCTTATTCTGCTACTGCTACTGCTGCGGCTGCTGCTACTACTACTGCTGCTACTACTACTACTACTACTCCTACTCCTGCTGCTGCTGCTTCTGCTGCTACTAGTGCTACTACTGTAAGTTAATTATTTCGTGCAAACCATTGCATGTTCGTTGCTATTGCCATGTTTGTTCCTACTCCTAGTAGGGACTCGGCGGGTAAAACTCCTCCAAGAAGTAGACAGAGTGGTAAGATCCCCCCCCCAAGAAGCAGGAATAGCATGGCGTGAATTTCCCCTGAGTCCCTGAAACTTTAAGGATGATGGCATCATAGTACAATGAGAATGACAGGATTCCTAGAGTCATACTAACATACGTGAACACAGTGACAAGAATAAAGCGATAACACATGATGATTTTAACAGCAACATCATTGTGATGATGACAGTAATAAACAGTGGGATCTTGATGATGATTCAGGAGTCCAATCTCTTTGTTTTGCAGCAACACGTGCTCTGGGGCGTTAATGCTTGAGCGGAGTTTAGTAGTGATGCGAGTCGGGATTGAAGGAGTTTATGCGTTCTGTTCGAAAATGATTGGACAATTCAAGCTGACAAGTGGCCATCTCGACAAAGCCTCCGTATAGCTGAAAAAAAGCTTGCGACAAAATCTTGTGACCCATCGTTTTTGGACAGGGCCGCCCTGAGGGGTCACAAGATCTTACCAGTTTTTTAAATTCCCTGTGCCGGCTACCACTTTCAGCACCTCAATCACGCACGTGTCGGGTTCTGGATTTTCTTTCCAGCCGCGTGCCTCCTAGTATTATTATGAGTATTTTGACCGAACTGCCTAGAAGCCCTACAGGCTTGCATGAACTGAAAGTGTGTTTGAGAGCCGTCAGCCCGCAATCGTCCAGTTCGAGCTTGGGGACACGCAGTACAACCTCTTTCTCAGATCCCAGATGTAAAATTTGAAGACCGTGCATCTCAAAAACTCGAACCTCAATCAATACATGGCAAAGCCCTACAGTGCTGGCGCCAGAGCCATAGAACCCAAACACGAAACCCAGAACCTAGACGCCCAATTAGCTGTACCAGTCGTCGCTGGGCACTACTTACAACAGCCTTAGCTACATAGTTTCTATCAAGATGTAGCCTGGACAACGCTATCAAGGCAGTATCGAAAGCAGGAAAGGGCGGTGACAATCCATCCTTCAACATGCAATCTGAATCTTGAACCTTAAGCCCTATGCTTTCATGTCTTGAAGGCCCCACAATCCCTAAACCCCCCAACCTGCCTGAAGACAACGTGAAGCACTCTATCCCAGACCTTTCAAGCCCTAAACTCCGTAACCCTGCCTGTTTTTGGGCTAAATAGGGGCTATCAATGTTGTAGAGAGGGTGTAGAGAGGGATTTATAAGCGTTTTATCCCAATTCTTGTATTCTTGCGTCCAGAACTAAATGCGTAATTTTTATAATCCAACCGCATGGAAATGGACAGGAGGTGGTTGATGCATGGAAGGGCGTTGCTCCCATCGATCGCGTCAAGGCAAATGTTTGTTTCCACCCTTTTCGCAGGACTTGGGGGTCCTGACAGTTTAAGGTTGTGGCATATTGCGGGCCAAACAAAAACACGCCAGGCTCATTCTCAAGTGGCCGGACGAGATAAAGTCATGGGCCTAAGGTCTTACGGATTAAGTTTCACTTCGTAAAAGCCCACAACTAGTTCTCATTCATCCTCTTATTGTTATTCTGTTTATTGTCGCTACTCTTTACATCTCTGGTCGTCATTATTGAGTGTGAACTACCGTGCTCTCGATTAACTTTTTCTGCATTGGCAAGAGGGGCCTCAAACCTTAAACCCTAAACCCTAAACATGACCTGAAGTTTGGCACTGCAGCCTTTAGGACTTGGGACGCTTCTTATTGTTCTGGGTGCCGCTAGGCCACATGGCACATTTGAGTGGCGTAGGCACATATTTAAGATGCATGAAGATTTAACAGTCGTGACCCCAGTTTGAGAAATTCCTGTTTCGAGTTTTTTCCAGGCGAGTTCAGGAAGTGCAGTTTGGAAGGTTGCAGATCTGGATGGTGAGGTTCGAATTCTTCCAAGCAACCTAATACCCTAAGCCTTTGACCCTGAATGTTGCGTGCAGACGGAGAAGGTGCGCGGAAGACAAAACCCTACAGCCTGACTTTTCCCTCAGAGCCGTTTGCCCTGCAAAAGTACGAGCCCAAGGAAGAAAGCAAGTGAAGGTAGCCTTAACGCTCGCTGTGTTGGCAATGAGATCGACAGTGCATAAGCCTCTTCACAAATCTCTGTGTGCAAAGAGTTGTGAGGCTTGTAAAGCAAAATTCCCCATTGAAGTGACTAAATCTCATATAGCGGAGAGAGCGAGCTGTTACATCACAGGCTGAATAATCTTTATGAGAAGTATGTTCGTTCAGGAGAGTTGTAAGGTGTTGGAAGGCTGGATGCCAACATGCGTCAGTTTTAACATCAGGGGATCTAGAGGTATTCCTTAAGGCATGAACCGCCCAAACAAATCCTAGTCCTCAATCCGAAGCCCCTAGTCTAGAGCTAGTATTGTCAGTAAAGATTACTATTGTCATTGTGGTTCTTATTGTTCTTCTTTATTAGCATTGTCAATATTAAAGCTGTAGTTATGCATTATTGCTATCCTAGACCTAAAAATTCTAAACCCCATTAATTATCAGCGCGCCTTTTTACAGGCTGAGCGGCCGGATCTTTTCAAGCCGCTTGGCGCGAAAATCTGAAGTTTGTGGTTGTGGGCCTGAGTTTCAAGCTGTGGGGTTTAGGGTTTAGGCTTTGGTTTAGGCTTTGGGGTTTGGGATTTAGGCTTTTGGGTTTGGGGTTTGGGCTTTGGGGTTCGGGTTAATGTTTTGGGTTTTGGGGTCTAAAGTTTAGGCTTTGGGGTTTAGGATTTGGGCTTGGGGGTTTAGGGTTTGGGCTTTGGGGTTCAGGGTCTGCTGAGGATTTGCAGGCCCAATCCTGATGAGATTCTACAGGATTCAGGTAGATTTTTTTGGGGCTTTGGGTTTGAGTCAGGAGTTTTTGAATGTATGGAGTATAGCTTCAGGTTTACGATTTGGAGTTGGGCAGTCGTGGCGCCAGGGCTTTCGATCTCCGGCGGCTTAGGGCGGAAGCGCTGATGCATCATTCCGTGGAGATACTTGTCAGGGCGGAGGAGAGATCTTCGGCAATACGTCAGTCTTCGGCCTTTCTTACCTGCCTGAATCTAGACTAAACTCTTCCTGTGTATGGAGGAGGAACGTCATGACTATGGCAAAAGCCCGCATTACAAACACTGAGCTCTCCGGAAGAAGTAGGGCCCACAAGTGGAGGCTTCACAATGTTTAAGGAGATGATTGGAATTTGGGTTGGGCAGTTTTTGTTTCCACTGTTTTGGGATTTTTGGGTTCAGCTGTTCACTGCTACCCTGAACCCTGTAGCCTACAGGAATGGGCCGCTAAAGAAGCCAGTCGTCATCGGCAAGAACTGGGAGCGACAGGCGTGCAGAAGAGTTTAGGGTTTGGAGTTGTGGGCTCTGGGTTGTGTGGTTCAAGGCTCCTATACAGCTTTTTGGATGTTTAGCTCCTAAGCCATAGACTTGGAAGTTCAAAACGCTAGGCTGGGCGCTGGTCGTGTTTCCATGCAGTCCTTTTTCAGATGGCTCAGTGCCGAATTTTGGAAGTCCGTGATGGCTTCCTTCAATGGTATTTATAAGGTCACCAAGTAGAAAACAATAATTCTGATGGTGTAATTCTGCCTGCTAGTCCCGGCGGCCACCTAAAGCCTAAGCCCTGAATCATATGAAGAGCTACTCTTCCTCACTTCGAGGTGGGGGGGCTGTGGTGCTTTTGGGGGGTGAGAGAAGTGCGACAAGGAGTACATGTGCAACAGTTCATAGGCCCGCCGAGCAGAGGATCAGAACCCAACAATGCTTTGTTTGAGCTTCGTTTGGGGACGGGGACTTGAAGGGGAGAGTCTCAGAGGGAGTTCTTTAACATGTGTTCATCCCCAACAAGCACACGTATTACTCCTTGACACCACGCTGATGAAAGCCCGAAGGATCCCAAATCTTCGTAAGCTAGTAAGATTACGGGGACCAGGTTCCTGTGAAGGCAGCAGACGCATCCTAAGTCAGGGGCACAACACCCTAAACCCTAACCCTTACAGCAATGTGGCTCAGTCAGTCCCTGGTCCCTACAACTTAAGCCCAGAGACTCAGACACCCAAGCCCTAAGCCCCTGAGCTTAGACTCCCAAGCCCTAAGCCCCTTTCACCTTCTTTCAGTGCTCGAAAGTGAACCGGTGTAAGTTTCCCAAAATAAGGGGACCCCAAAATAGACCCCCACATACGATAATCCTAAAACATGGGGACCCCCCAAGAAAGTACCCCTAATTTTGGGAAACACCCAAGTGTCTAGGGTCTAGGTCTCTACAAGCAAGGCTGGCCTTGAGCCCCCTGCGCGAGAATCTCCCATGCCCCAAATTAGGGATACCTTTAAGGGGGATATCAGGTTATATAGGGACATTATGGGGGTATAAAGGGTTTGGGGTTTAGGGCATGCCAATGTCTGAAACACTGCTTGTTGAAATTCCGGAGAGTTTTCCCGAAAACCCTGAGACCCTACACCCTGGGAGCTACGCGAGGGATAAAGTGCTAGGCGCCCAACCATCAGGGTCCAAACAATTTTCAACAGAGTCCTGGGTTGCATTCTACGAATCAAGTAGGAAGATTGCCAGCGCCTAATATCTCCAATTATTCCTTTGACCCGGCCTTTGGACACCACTGTTCCTCCATGCTAGCCAGGCCGCCTGCGCAGACTGCAAATTCGAGCCCATGAATGGCTGGGGCAACATGTACTGCTCAAGGTGTGGCCATGCAGATGCCATGGTGCGTGCTACTTGCCACAGCGTGTAAGTTTCAGGGTTGTTTTCTGACACAGAGTTTTGGGGTCTAAGGTTCTAGAAGGACCTTTCTGGCAGCTTTGCTGGTCGAGGTGACTTCAAGCTCCAGGCTTCAGGATTGAAGGCCGCGGGATTCGGTGCCAACTTGGCGTGTGTGGGAAGGGTTTTGCAAGATCACAGGGTACTTGGCCAAAAATTATTGCATTACGCCAAAATAAACATTTCAAAGATCGCCTAGCGCAAAATGCCTCAGCAGCTGCATTGACCGATTTTTCTGCTTTCGCTGTGACTTTCCAAAACAGGAAGGCCTCAGCATTTTCCGGTTCACTTCAGCCGATGGCATGCGAATTCGGTTGTAACATCATGTAGCAATCTTCCCACTATATGTCCGAGAATTGCCTGCCCCTGTGTCTAGCGGAGTTTGGACAATTGCTGGGCCGCATGTTCAGAAGAGAATACGAAGGCTTCATGACATACCAATAGCTACAAGATTCCTGAAAATAATTTTTAATTTCTGTTACCTAGAATCCTAATATTTAGCTGAAATTATAATTTCTACTGGGGTTCCAAATCCCTTAGAGATAGTAATGCTACTAATAAAAGTGAGCAGCAATAAGATTGGTATTTGTAATACAAGCAATAACTCATGTGAGTACTAATAGTTTTGCGAGTAATTATCGTAAATCTACATAATAATTTTGGCAACAGTAATTACAATCTACCTATAGTATTGGGTATAATGGGTAATGTGGAGCCGTTTTCTGCTTGGGCCTTGAGCCTGAGGCTTGCTTAGCCAACAACAAGCACTACGATTTGCACAAGCTGCCCACGCTGGACAAGATCATTTGTCTGCTAGGCCCGGGTTACTCAGGGTTTAGGGTTCAGGGTTTGGGGTTCAGGGTTTGGGGTTCAGGGTTTAGGGTTCGGGGTTTGGGGTTCAGGGTTTAGGGTGGAAGATTTAGCCGGATTCAGCCACTACTGCTACAGCGACTGCTACTGCCACTACTTCTACGAGGACTACTTCTTTTTGCTACGACAACAACGACGAGAATGACCACGACTGCTGCTGTTGCTGCTACTGCAGCTGCTACCACTACTACTGCGTATTGTGATTGATTGTGATTTTTGGTTACTATTAGTACGAGTAACAGTACTGTTGCGGTTGTTATGCTTTTTATTGTATTCTGAGTACTATTCGTGTTATGACCATATTGCTTTGCCAACTAATACTAGATTGAGTAACATCATTGTTTAGATGACTATTGCCAGGTACTAGTGGCAGTTTTTTTTGACCACGTGCCATGCATATGTCAAGAGACATGCCCGAATTTCCCCAAATTGGAAAAGTACGGGTTCCCATTCCTTAAACCCTAAACCCTAAGCCCTAAACGTATGACACTACGGGCGCCTGCGTCCACATTCTCTGTTTTGGACATAGCACTTCAGGTATATTCCCCGCTGAGCGTGAGATCCTAAATCCTCAATGGTGCCCTGTAGAGAATGTATGAGACGGTGGATATATTTCGCGACGGAGATTCGTTTGCATGTATAGAACGCGAACCTGTGAAATGTTGCGCTCATCTAAGTTTTTTTGCCAGGAGATCTGACCCAACCAGCCGCCATATCAGCCTAGACTCAGATGGCATTTTTCAAAAGTAGAGTAGGCACTCGGACACATAAAAATGCGGGGCCCAATCTAAAGACCACCAGCAGGCATCGCAAACGGAACCGTAAATGGCACAGCGCTCGCGTGCCAAAGGAGATCCCCAACACCGTGGAGTGAAGCAGCATTCAAGCCTAATACCTGGGCATATCTAAACCTTAGTAGCAATGACGGTAAGAAGAACAGTGACAATAACAGCAACAATAACTGACAATGATTAACAATAAGAGTAACAATACTTAACAAGAGTAACAATAATGAACAATAATAGCAGGTAATTATCACCTTTACACCCTCAGCCGCAGATCCGAAGTCTGGACCCCAAAGGTTTCTTTGACGGGCCGTGTTTGCAGGCACGAACATGACTCCTCCTGGGCCGCAGCACGTTCGGCAGCCAGGAGCTTCAACGTGCAACCAAGTGTCCATCCTAAAACACATGGGTGGATGTCAAAATTAGGGTTTAGGGTTTAGGGGTACCTTAAATATAGGGATTATAGGGATTATATTGGGGTTCTATGGGGATAATGGAAAAGAAAATGGAAACTACTACATTGGGGTTATATGCCCTACTAGTCCCTTTCTGGGTACCCTAAATATTAGGTGCCGTATTATAACAGGGACCCAAAAAGGGACCCATAATTTTGACAACCACCCACATGTCTCCTAGCCGAACCGGCCGGGATGTTGCAGAGCCTGCTGAGCCACGTGCGTGCTGAAACCCTACACCTTCAACTGATACCCTTGGCCTTGTAGGTCTTGTTTGTATGTAGGGTATGTGACTTTACTAACACAATGTCTTCCGTCGAGTGAGTGGGCGGTTGTCGTTGTGAGCATCATCCGCATGTGGGGTGTGTCCTTCATACTAATCTCTTCGTTTGTCATGGTGCAGTTTCTGCCTTTGCGCCAGCACAAATTCACAATGGTTTTGGTAGTGCTTTCAGGAGTCAGTTCTGATGTGCATGTCGTACGCTTTTGGATCCTGTCTGCCCTGCATGCTTCGAGCCAAGCGTTTGGGAAAACCTGTAACCCTGATCTGCGTGGTATTCCAAGCTGACAGATTTTTGGGGTTGTTGTTAAGAAGCTTCAAGCTACCATAGTATCGGCGTATCGTAGATACTAGGGGTTCCTTATCATAGCAAATTCGTAGAATTTCCTTAACAGCAACCTTATTCTTGCATAGGCCTTGTCAGCTTTAAAACTTTACACCCCCGAAACGTTAACCTGACCCCATGCGCACGCATGACAAGTCAAATCGACTTCGAAGATGATGTAGGCAAAGCGTAGGTAGTTATTTATTCACTTACTGGTTGTTACTAGGGAAGATTGGAGGGACTATCATCCCTATGCAATATCTTCCCATGATATTCCCTAGTAAGCGCCAGTAAGTTTAGGCTTCTGCATTAGGTGCCTCGGATCTTGCAGCATTCTCGTCTCTACGATCATGCTGGCATTGCCCAGACTTCTCCCTAGACTTACTGGTGCTAAGTAAGGAATATGGGAATATCTCATATTGGGACTATATAGGGATCATATTCCCTCATTTATTGCTTACTAACAACCAGTAAGCACAGTTCTGCACACGACCGTGAGAGTCACCCTGACATCCGTATGCCAGCTCCCATTGTCCTAAGCCTAAACCCTGTAGACCCTAAACCTGAACCGTTAAACAAACTTTGTTTCCTCAAGCCGAGCCGTGAAGCGCAAAAGCAAATCCCCTGGTGTCAACACCACAGGGACTGTTGAAGCCTATGTTAGGAGTTACATACCCCCCCCCCCCGGATACGCCCCCCAGATCTACCCTATTATGCCGTATTGAGCCCTATATAGTCCTTACTAGCTCCTTAAGCCCTGGGGGGTACCCTCAGGGGGGGATGGTATTTTAATCCCTTACTGTCACAGATCTGGGAACTCACAACGTACTCTTCTTGTGAGACATTTGTACCATATTGTTGCTGTTTTTCTTATCCTTGCTCTTACTATCATTCGTATTCTTGTTGCTATGCCTACCTTGAGCCCAACCCCAACACCTTGACCCAAACCCAGGAACTGCAGAAACCTACGACAGATCGGGGGACTCGCCTGAGAGAAGGGCCTCACGCGGATCTGGGGGAATCGGCGGCGGGAAGTGAGATCGGTTCGTCCCCTCTCCGAGAGTTATAGGATGTAGAGTGTAACCTGTACGGGGCCATGGCATTGGTTTTCAGGGTTAAGGGGCTTGTAGCGCTGTCCCTGCGTTTTGGTTCGCAGAAGACGTCCAGATATCTGAATGAGCTGTATGTTAGTTTCCACTAATAGGGGACCCCACAATTTTATCACCCTTTATACGGGACCCCCAAGAAGGCACACCAATTGTTGGACATCCCCAAATCAGCAGCCAGCTTGATGGATCCCAAGGACCAAACATAGTCCCATGAAGTTGTGTATCATCCTTTGCAGACCCATGGCCCTAAACCCTAAAACCCAAACCTTCAACCTGCCCGTCACCCCTCTCACTTGCCTTTTGGGGTTGGCGGGCGCTGGTCGAGCGCTCAGCGAGACCCAGCGAAGGAGCCCCAGGTAGGCGACTGAGCAGGCCTCCAGGCTGGCTCCCCCTCCAGGTAAATTGAGGCCGTCAGCAAATTGCCCCTGACTTTTTTAAGCCCTCACGCCTCAGTCACTGGGGCGCAAAAACATTTCTGGTTTTGTCGGTCTTGGGGGGGCCCTGGCGTTCGTGGCCTGCCAGCTCTTGGCAGGCCCAAACCGGCTCAGCTTGCTTGGAGGTCTCAGGGGCCTCCCAGACAGGTTTCAAGGCGGTTTCTGGGCTTCAGGACAAAGCTTCCACCCGAACACTTCCACCCACGCAGGCGGCGCCTGGTCAGATCTGGCAGAGCCCCGAGCGCGCCTGAATGTCTTTTGAACGCGCGCTCAGCCGGGGCCGAAAGGAAGGACCCTTCACGCAAATCTGTATTTCTTGTAGCGAAATCGGTCGCAGCTCGCATGACCCGGAGTGTGATGAATCTATGCAGGGCCCAGCACCACAGCGGCCCAGCACAAACACAAAAGTTTTGTGGACATGAGTGCCCTGGGGGCCCCTGAAAGGCCCCTGGAAGGAAGGTATGCCAAGGCCTTGAGCCCGGCTGCCGTAGGGCTTCAGGACAAAAGCTCCCACCCAGAAAGCTCCCACCTGCGCAGGCGCCTTCTCTTTAGCTAACCCAACCAGATCTGGCAGAGCTGGAGCGAGATAAATCCATGAGCTCCGAGCGCACCCGAAAATCTTTTTGATACGGGTTCAGCCAGATCTACGTAATCAGGGCGCTCTCTTACCATGTGAGTCAGAACGTCCCCTCACGTGCTTGGACGCATTTAGCGACATGTTCTAGCTGCAGCACCTGGCCTCACATGTTTCCCAGACTCATTTCAAGTTTTTAACTCATTCCCAGTCCGGCCCTGTGGTGTCGTAGAATTAGAATTTCTTCCGGGCAGCAGAATGTGAGCCAGAGCGGGCTGGAACCTTGAGAGGGCTGAAGGGAAGGTCTCCTAACGCAAATCTGTATTTGTTGTAGCGAAATGCCCAGCCAAATCTGGTGGCAGCTCACATGACCCGGAGCGAGATGGATCTATGAAGGGGCCCTTCGGCCCAGATGGTCCCCGGGCCAAGCCCGAAAGTCTTATGGATATGCGTTCAGCCAAAGGTGCATAGTGAGGGCTCTTACCACGTGAGCCAGAACGTTTCCTCCCGTCAACCCTAAGTTTTGCTTGGACGCATTTAGCGACATGTTCTGGCTGCAGCACATGGCCTCGCCTCTCATATTTCAAGCTTTCCACTCACTCCCGATCCTGCCCCAAAGGTGTCGTAGAATTTCTTCCGGGCAGCTGGATGTGAGCGATGGAACTATGAGAGAGCCGAGGGGAAGGTCCCTTCACGCAAGCCCTATATTTGTGTCAGCAAAATACGCACCAAGATCTGGTGGCAGCCCACATGACCTGCTGCGAGCTGAATCTATGAACGGGCTCTTCGGCCCAGATCGTCCCCAGGGGCAAACCCGAAAGCATTTTTGATGACGTTTTGCGAGCAATGGCGCGGGCATAGTTCTGTGAGTTCTTGCCACGCATTGATGCCGCAGGGCCATGTGTGGAAAATAGTTGAAACCCTCAAAGCCCTGAGCGTAGTAATTGGGTGGCGTTGGGGTGGGTTAGTCCGGAGACTGACGCGCGCTCACAAAGTGCGCTTCCGTCTGGGACGCCCTAAGCCCCAAACCCAAAACCCGGAAACTTGGGTTTGAGGGTTTGGATCCCGATTTTGGGTTTTGGGCTGCTGAGATCAACGGTCCCTTTGTGGATGCGGGTGTTTCTTATCTAGGAATCTGCCGATTCGGAGGAGGGCACCTTAATGTAGAATGCACGGTTTGGGGTTCCAGTTAGATTCTAGTTCAGCATAATGTTAAGAATTCAGTTTCTTGATGTTGAGACCTGCAAGTCGGCACATTTGACTGTAAGCTATCCTGACGGGCCCCAAAGCCAAGCTTCTGGCAGTTTACACATGACCTTCTTTGCGGTTGTACGGACATGGGCATGCAGGAGTGACTCCATCAGCTCAAGCTTTATCCCTGAACCAAAATCTTCCTGCATCATTGCATTGTATTCTAAGCCTGAATAGTTACAATATTTCGCCTTTGTAGCTCTTAGATAATTGTAGTGTTCTACACCTTCGAAAGCCTATTTGAAGTGGTTAGCCCCTACCTTACAATATCCATACCAATACCACTGTATAAACCCGACTTCCATTTCATTGTCCATTTTTGAAAATTTGACTCTTCATTTTTCAAAACCTTGAGCCCTGAACAGTAGTTTGCCTTTAGTAGAACATGGACAGTATGTAATGGATTTTCAAAATTAGGGGTACTTTGTTGGAGTTCCCTGTATTAAGAAGGACTACGACATGCTTATGGAAATTACCATGTAGTAAACTAGACTCAGAGGCCGGCAGGGGGGAGAGCCGATCGGGCATGTCTTTGACGCCGAGGTTGACACGAGGTAGGATGTTTTGGGTTTTGGTGAAAGGGCAGGCCCTGAGGAGCCAAGTACGTATGTATAAAAGCATCGGGGTAGTTATAAGGGGATTATGGGTGCCTGCCAGGGATTCTATATGAGCTATAGTCTAAACTCCTTAGAGGGGTCATATAGGGGAGTATATAGGGGTTTATTATAGGGGTTACTAAGGGGGATACTAGGAGTTTAGATTATACTTCACATGACTTACTATAGGTTTTTATGGTGAGAGTCGTATTTAGGACACCTAGGAATGTTGGTGTGTGTATACGCGGGGCGTTCTTTGGGGAACTCAAATGAGCCATTCTCACAATTCTGGCTGGTAAAGGAAGGGTGTGGCTGGAGGAGCGCTAAAAGATATTGCGCCGACCCGAGAAAAATCATAATACAATTTCCGATGACAATCTCTAACCCTGTGTTTGAGTTTGGGTTGCAAGTCTTGCGCATACCAAGCTTCGATGAAATGATTGGACCTTGTGCTACCTGAGGAGAACGGTTCCCAAGTCTACCCAACATTCACCAGTGCTAACAGCCCGAAACCCTGATTGCGATGTTTGAAAATGGTGTCTGGCAAAGGTCCCTGCACTGGGGCTTCTGCAGTAAATGCAGACCTCTGCGGAAGTTTCCAACATCTTGGGAACAGACCCTAAGCTTGGTTGTTTTTGGAATGCCCATTTGTTTCTGTTTTTTAGGGCCTGTTAGGGTTCCCAGGTATTGTACATCCGAGAATTGTAGCCCTACAGCCTACACCATGGCCTTCCAGACCTTTCTCCAATACCTCACGATAAATGCAAATTTGCTAGGGCCTACGAGAATCATGTTTAAAGTCTGCAAGATGCACCACACTGGAGCCTTTCAACATAATCTTTCTTGAGGTTGGAGGGGTCTTTTGCGTTACCCTTCTGGGAAGAAAGGTAAACTCACGAGAGAACGCTATATGCAGTTGCAAGAAACCTCGGCGCTCAAAGCTGTGTAGCTGAAGCTCAAGAGCTCTTCCCGTTGTGGCTTGTTGCTTCGATCCGCCGGTACAATGTAAGTCCTGAGCCCCGCACATTAAATCCCCGGCCTACTTGTTATGCAGGAAGCACTCAGGGCCTGCATGGCTTTCAGGTTTAGGCATCAGGACAGTAGGGGGTCAACTTGGGTTGGATCACCCTCTGTGGTAGCAACGACATTTGCCCTGATGTGCAACTTTAAATTACTTGAAATATTGGCCCCTGTATCATCCTCACACAACTCGAACATAGTATACCCCCAAACCCCAACTCTAATTCTTCAGGCCCCTACATAAGCCACGTGCCCTGACCCACAGCTGTTCCCGACTTCGGTCCGAAAAGTGCCTGGGAGCCTTCATGCCCCTAAACCCTAAACCAGAACCGAAACCCCGAAGCCTATGTCTCGAGATCCCAGTTGACTGTAATTATTGAGCACACATGTAAGCCGTAAGCTAAGTTGAAAGTTGACAGATGGTTACGATCACTTGGACTTCCATGTAAACCCAAACCCAAACGCAGAACTCAGAGCCTGAAACCTCAACCCCCAACCCCCAAATCTTGGACCCTTGAAGGCCTAAAACCCGAAGCCACAAACCCAAGCCGCGTGGCAACAAGTACTACATGACGGGGTTCCCAAAATTATGGCCCTTTGGGTTATAGGCTATATCACAGCACCTAATATTTAGTGGCATACCAACATGGAACCCTAATTTTGGGAACTCTCCACATCTTTTCTCAAGATTTTGGATCAAGTTGAGCCTGCTGCTGCTCATCCTGGGTAGGGCTTAGGGTAGGGCACCTGCATTGGGTTTAGCAGTGTAGGGGTCGCGGTTGAGATCTAAAGTTTGTCATTAGCCTATACCTTATAGTTTTCGAGGATATCGCAGCCTGTTTTTTTGGAGAGCTGAAGGTATCCGCAGGGGATAGTACTTGGAGGTTCATGGGACTTACCTAGACCCTCCAGTGTAGGTCCTTTTTGGGTTTGTTATGGTTTTTTCGGTTGGGACTCTTATTAGGATTACCAAAAAGGTACTATATTGGAGGGTCTTGGTTGTAACTAGTTATAACTATGCTTCTAACCCCGGTTAGAAGTGGCTACTACATCC